CATTAGTGCATATGCAATCTTAGAACCCGTCAGCTATCAGTCTGACGACGGTAAGCCTCTGGAGGCAGCGGCCTATAATTGAGGGCTTCGGGTGTAGCCAGGGGATAACCAGGCCAAGACTTCTTCTCACTTGTGCTGGCCATTTTGGCTAATTTCTGTAAACAGATATCTTCACATGTATGCCGATAGATAATTTTAAAAAGCTAAATCATCATCAGACAATAGCAAGAGTGCATTTTGGCCAATGTGTTTCACCTCTTTGGCTTTTCACAGACTGTTCACCTGCCACTCTAATGTGATTGGTCAATACAACTCTCAAAATCTTGTCCCAGTGCCTACAGGTTCTGCACACGTGCAGATATGTATAGAGATTAGTGCACATGAACCACAGTATGAACCAGGATTTGCTTTAATATATGCACACTAATGCAGTACGCATGTCAGTGACAGTAAAAACATCCATAATAGTTTTAACTGGAGTGGCACAGTAAGCGTGGGCTGTACAGCGTGTTCAGTAAGCACTGTAGGTGAGCTGACTGCATCAGAAAGAAGTGCTTATACATATGCATATGTGATGCATATGGATTATCTCAGTACGTCACTAACAGCCTCTGCTAAATAATTACCCAGAGGGTACCCTGTAGTGTTACACATAATAAATCTTTCACTGTAAACTGTCACACCTGCTACAAGAGCAGCCTCCACTCAGAGATACAACTCTGAGTCGTCATATTTAAAATGATCCTTCGAGTTTTGTTCTCAGTTGTTGCAATGACCCAGCGCAGTTATGAACAATCTGCCAGCTTAGATCTTTTTGGTTGTCTTCCATGTGTTTTAATTTTTCTGCCATCCTCCCCCTGCTTCTCTGTCTTGTCCTCTTATCTCATTGTCTCCTTCTCCTCTCTTTAACAGGAGCATCAGGCAATATGTTAGTAAACCCCCTGGAGCCTATTAACGCTGACAAGCTGCAGGTTAAAATTGCTGATCTCGGCAACGCCTGCTGGGTGGTGAGTACAAATTTACATTCTAATGAAGGGACTCTTATGGCATCCTTGAAAGGTTTGTCGACATTTTACCTGTGCTTTGAATCTGACCTTTAAATGTACGTAAACACCAGCACAGGTGTTACTTTGTACCTCAGCAGTCAGGATTTCTCTTCTTTTTCTTCTTGCAGCACAAACATTTCACAGATGACATCCAGACGCGGCAGTATCGTTCTCTTGAGGTGCTGACAGGAGCTGGCTACAGTACACCAGCAGACATCTGGAGCACTGCCTGCATGGTATAACAGACGCACAGAGCACCTGTAGAGCTATGAGGAGTTGATGTCATTAACACTGACTGGCAAGACAAACTGTGAAGTTATTTTAAGTGTTAGAGCCTGTGGAGTTTCACTGTAATCAGAGACAGTTTTATTAAGTTAATTTGTCATCAGAAGACAATGTGTGTGTCCTTCAGGTCTTATAAACATATTGAATGCATTTGCTACCACATAAAATATTTACAGTGCCTTTTTTTGTTGGATCTGCATTGTTCATGTCAGCCTCCAGTTTTCTTCTCCTCTTTTATTGACTGATTGCTACTTGTTACTACAGCTACTGCTGCAGCCTACACTGTCACACACACACAGACTCAGCTGTGAGCATGTATATACACACATAATGTAAGATACAGTAAGCCACCATTAGTGAAAACAGGAGATGTTAGCTGACCCACAGAATGACTTCAGACCCCAAAAATATTAAGTGTTGTGACAACATTGACATGCTTTGAGATAAAGGAAAACAAAACATGACAGTCAGGGAATCCTTGACCTCACTGACCACACGAATGCATCTGTATTTGATTAAAACCCATCCATCCACCACTTATTGAGTTCATGTGTGTTTTTATCCTCAGGCCTTCGAGCTCGCCACTGGAGACTATCTGTTTGAACCCCACTCTGGAGAAGACTACTCCAGAGATGAAGGTCAGTGTCTGCTTCCCCTGAGACATCTGTTCCCAAAATGTTAATTCCTTAATCTAGAATTAAGACTTAAATCGGTATTAAAATGTCTTAAATCAATCTTTCAAAAGTCTTAAAAAGCTCAGACATGGAAAGTGGGATTTTATGAATCGTTACCAAATACCTCTCTCATTTACATCACACAGATCAGGATAGTGGAAACAATACTCATATTTTGTTTCCAGCTGGGATGCTCAGAGTTGATGATCTTCTGTCTGCTCGCTAGATGTAGCTGTATCCTGGACTAAATTGGGAAGTGCTAGTTCAACAAAAATTGGCTATTTAACCAAGATTTTGCAGCATGGCTGAAACCTGTACAAGGCAGTGAGGCTGGGTGTATTTTATTTAAAAAAAGTTTTTTACACTTGGCATGATGGAAATCAACGCGGTGGAATGCAACACAGAGTCAGAAACACAAAATTGACAAGAAAACCTGGCAATAAATGCCTATTATATCCAAAAAAATGTCACGTTTTATGTTATGTTAAAATAAAATTTGGGCAAAATTGTCCCTAAGCTTAAGTAATTAATGTCATTTCGGTTAATTTCTTTATAAATTGGTCTTAACTTTCACTCCAAGTGGCATTTAAAAAAAAAGAAAAAAACTTAAATCTAACTTGCCTTAAGCTGTAGGAACACTGCAACTAGAGGGCTACTTCAATAGACAAGACACCCTGAAATGAGTATGAACTCCAGGTTTATTTGGGAAGGTGTAGACTTTATAGTGTAAATTGTTCCGAGTCCAGCACTTCACATTCATTGCAGTCGTCCTGTTACCCTTCATCAGCTGTGTTTGTATGTCTCTCTGCCTCCCTGTAGATCACATAGCGCTGATCATCGAGCTGCTAGGTAAAGTTCCTCGGAAGCTGATCTTGGCAGGCAAATACTCCAAGGAGTTTTTCACCAAGAAAGGTAAACACGCCCGCCCTGCCACCAGCTGTCTGCTGCAGCTGAATCCAGTTCATGCTTAAAATATGCTCAGGTGTGTTGGTGCAAAAGTTACTATTTCAGAGTGAGCACCTGATGGCTCAAGGGAACAGCCATCTGCTCAGTTTGAAGGGCAGAACTTGCAATGTAAATTTAGTACAGCTATTTCCAGTACATAGAGGTGATGCAGTGGAGTCATGCCAACCAAAAACACACATTGCTGATATAAAACCATAATTTTTCACTCTATATAATATGCAGTCTGCCAACACTCAGCAGTGTAATTACTGAAATGTAATATTTTCCCCCAGGCGAGCTGCGCCACATCACCAAGCTGAAGCCATGGGGTTTATTTGACGTGTTGGTAGAAAAGTACGAGTGGTCCAAAGAGGAGGCCCACTGCTTCAGCTCCTTCCTCCTGCCCATGCTGGACCTGGTGCCTGAAAGGAGGGCCACCGCAGCCCAGTGCCTCTCCCATCCATGGCTCATATCCTAAAGGCCAACTGTGCACACCACTCTCACCCCCACCCTCTTATTGTGAAAGGATAAATTAGGTTTTGGAGATCCTGGGCTTGGAAACAAAGTAAACAAACACGTTCATGTCCACGAGACCCTGTGACTGCATCGTACCTGCATCCTCTCATCATGGCTCTCAGAGGCTACCCACACACTCTCATGAATTCAATAGACTGCTGCCTGGTTTTTGTCCTGCTTTGGACTACGCTGGTGATAGAATACACTCATGGTCTTCTTCCTATATTTATGGCTCTGGCGCTGTATAGGACTTATCAACCTTGCTCTCTTTTTTCTGGACTCTAGCTCTTTCTCTGCAGCACATTATTCTCTGTATTTTTAGCTTTGGATAATCAACTGTCCGATCTGAAAGGAGGTTGCACTTGTCTACAAATGCAGAAAGCAGGAAGAAACGTAAAGACTGCCATCAAAACCACACACTGTTATCATTAAGGATATTAACAAGCCAAACCTGTGTCTGTTTGCCAGTCACCATGTTAGCCGTGCCAGCTTTTATGCCTTTGGCTGTCAAAATGTGTGCAAAGTGCTCAGAATTAATCAGTGCGTAATGCTAACAGCCGTTATGAGAGAATAGAAATGTTCTTAGCACTGTTGAGTTAGCTTTATCCTAACAACACTTTTGTACATTTGTATACAGGCAGAACTACATGATTAGAAAGCAGATGTTTCACTGGCTCATCAGAAATCAAGCTCTATTTTTTAATTAAAACCAAACTGTGTAATATCAGATTTTTCAAGTGTAATAGTTTCAGTGCTATCTCATGTCTTAAAAAAGCACTTATATGCACAAAACAATGTGAAAAACAGTTTTTTTCCTACTTCATACACGAGAGGATAACTTCATGCTGTTTCATACTGGGATCACTTTTTGCCTGTTCAGAAAGGCTTCATATAACATTTACCACATTAACAGTAAAACTCTGTGGATCGACACCCAGGGTGCAGTGCACCAAATAGTTGGCCTTCAGCCCCCCCCCCCTCTCTGCAGCAAAAGCTTTGCACAGCTCCTGACTGTCAGCAATGTAAAGTGAAGGCACAAGCTGAGAGGTTTGAGCTGTTTTGTTTTTTTTTAATAGGTTTTAGAAATGCCTCGAAGAATGTTGGTGGTAATTAAACTAAAGCTTTGTTTCAAGAGTTCCCACTGCACATGGAGGTGTTGGATTTGAAAATAATAGATTGTACTAAAAAGCAGATGCTGTAATAATGCTTTGAACCCCCTCAAAACCATTTTGTTTTTCTACAAAGTCTCCTCTCCCTCTGTTCATGTCTCCACTCTTCATTTGATTGTTCATTTTTTTTCTGTAGGTAATAAAAATAAACATTTTTCAAAACCGAACTGGATTGTGTATTGCCTTATAAATGTGCCACTGCAGTGCGCAGTCCTCAAAGACTCTGTATTAAACACATCATCATTAATCTAATGCATCATCAGGACATCTAGAGGGGAGATACTGCAGAGTGGTATCAGATTGTATTTTCACTGAGAGCTAACAGCTATGATTCAGGATTATATTGAGAAATGTTGGACATTATTTATCAGGATGTCACACTGGAATCACTCCAAAGGCTCCTTACATACATCACGGTTATTAGTTTGCATATTACATGATAAAATACAGCATTATAAAATGAGTACTGAAATACATATTACATATCTAACATCACACGGGGCAGTTTGCTCAGCTTTTATGACAATTCTCTCTCCAGGGTAACAAGGAGCTTCTCTGGTCATTTTGAATAATAAAATACCTGAAGGAAAAGTCGATTAACAGTCCTAAAGCTTTCAAATACATCGGAACCCCTCGAGTCAGTAGTGTTCCTCATAAAGCCTCATCCATCTCTTCCCTCTGTTGTCCACAGGAGGCTCAGGCGTTATCTGTAGATGAGACAAAAACATGACTTAAAAAAGAAGCTGATGTTACTGTAATTATCAGTTCAGACACTGACAGATTTGTGTCAGTAGCTCAGCTGGATTTCAACATATACACCTACTATTCAACAAGACCCAATAGTCTACAGTCAGCATGCTAACATGTTGATGTTTAGCAATTAGTATTTTCCATCTTAGTTTAGCATGCTAACAAAATACAGCTGAGGCTGATGGAAATTCAGGGTGGGGAAAAAATCGATACAGTATAGTATCGCGATATTTTGTGTGGCAATATTGTATTGATACACGGATGTCAAGTATGGATCTTTTATTATTATTTTGTTACTAATAAAATAAGCATTTTCATACAACTTTTGGCACTAGAAAAATAAAATCTATTGCTTTTTCAGTCCACTAGATGGTGCTGATGTCTTTTTCCTGGTGAGGTCAGCAGCGGTCTCAGCAGCATTTGGCAGGAACTTCATCAAAACAAAGACGGAGGTGCCGGAGAAAAAAATCAGAAATGTGCTGTTGTCGTTCATATCAAATGTCAGGACTTACTTTGGATTTTTTAAACGCAGATGAAATGGAGGACTTGCACATGGCACTTGACACATGCAATTTGCAAGCAGTGTCACATCAGAAGAAAATACTCACCCCACACTCCACCATCCAGAGGTAGCGTTAGCCGCTGACGGCCAAGTTACTGGTAAAGTGCTCCACCGAAAAATCAACCAACACTGGACACACGTAGCTTGACAAAACTACCATCCAACTCTGAGAGAGCTAAGAAAACAACATAGTCCATCACCTACTTCATGTGCAATCAAAAATATCATTGTAAATATTTTGTGAAAGCACCAATAGTCAACCCTACAATACCATGATATGGCGATATCAACATTGAAGTATTTGGTCAAAAAATATTGTGTTACTTGATTTTCTCCATATCACTCAGCCTTTGATTAAAGGTATTACAGTTCATCCTCTGAGGAACAAGAATGTCTGTATCATATTTAACGTCAATCCATCCTATAGTTGTTGAGAAATTTCAGTAAAAAAAATATCAACCTCGTGGTCGGTAAAGTAAGTTAAAGATCACCAAAGTCAGCAGGGTTCAGCCTCTGGGAACCGTGGATGTCTGTACAAAATTTCGTGGCAATCCACTCAGTCATTGTAGAGAAATTTAAGTCTGGACCAAACTGCTGGACTGGACAACACTGCCATCCAATTTCCTCAGTTCACTGAGACCTCAGTGAGTCATCACTTATACAGAGATCATTGAGGTTTCAAGGGTGCCCAGCCTCTGCTTCACCTCTTTCCATTTTCCCTGCACCACTTAAGCCAAGACTGAACCCTCTGAAACCTTTACCTTTCCTCCTGCCAACTCTATCATGCACCCTTTTCCTCCCTCTCTCATCTCAGCCTCTCAAATGAAACCCTCCATTCTTCATTTTCTCTCCAGCTAAATATTATCATCTAGCCTGCGTCATCCTCTCCCACCCCACCTATTTTTCCACCCTCCCTCCGCTCTGTTACCTTTCTCCTCCACCTGAAAGTCCTCCGGCAGCAGCTTGTCCTGTCGGCTGCCCAGGCTGAATGCGAGGAAGGAGAGGATGAGCGAGTCCATGATGCTGATGATGGCCAGGATGTAGGCCCAACGCACCGTGCAGTTGCCCAGGGTGTATTTGTCCGTCCGCTGGCCACACATGCGCTTCACCTCGTCCGAGTCCCAGCCGTCAGGATAGATCATACAGCCAATCACCATGCATGTGCCTGATAGACAGGAAGCCACCGTTAGTTTATTCAAATGCACAAACTTTAAACGATCTTGATGTGGGAATGTTACAATTACAAATAGTATGTATACTCAAGTGAAAGTAAGAGCTGCTTCCTTTTCATGTGACTAAATATGACTACTTTATTGCATCTCAAAGTGAAAAGTTGCACTTCCAACTGCACATTTATCTGATAGCTTTAGTTATTACATATTCACCAATGAAGATTTTTGTGTGCAAAACATCTCAAGAGCAGAAAAATAAAGGTCCAGTGTGTCGGATTTGGGGGCATATATTGGCAGCCCATATATTGGCAGAAATGGTATCACATTCTTAACTATGTTTTCATTAGTTTATAATCATCTGAATCTAGGAATCTTTGTGATTTCATCACCGTAGAATGAGCTGTTAATATCTACATAGGGAGTGAGTCCTCCTCCACGAAGTCTGCCACATTGTTTCTACAGTAGTCAAGAAGGGGCAAATCAAACACTGCCTATAGATAGGGCCATTCATGTTTTTCATTTTAGCTTTGGCCACTGTAGCTCTCCCACACACACCTGGTATGCAGACGTTTCAGTCTGCAATCTCACCACTAGATGTCACTATGTCCTACAGACTGGACCTTTAAAGGGCAACTATAACTAACTTTTTCATGTAAAAACACCAAACATTTCATGGTTCAAACTTCTCAGATGTGAGGATTTGCTGCTCTTCTTTTTCGTATTTTAATTTATTCTTTTACAATTGTGAGGCTTGGACCATTGGTTGGACAAAACAAACGTTGTGACGATGTCACTTTGGGCTCTGGGTAATTGTGATGGCTGTGTCTCACTATTTTCAGAAGTTTTTACCACCCAAACAATATTGAGAAATTAATCATCTAGTTAGTTTGCTTTACCTCAACCGAATACAGCAGTGAAATGCTGATTACATGTCAATTAATTAGGAATAATAATCTGATGATATACTATACAATTATATAACTCACAGAGAGCATTTTAATACTTTACATACATTTACCTCATTATAGTTACATCCTTTTTTCTCAGTGACATTTTTAATTTAGGACCTGTAATGGAGTGTTTTCAGTGTAGTATCATTACTTTTACATAAGTAAAGCATCTGAATACATCCTTCACAGCTGAATGTTTGTGTTTTATATAATAAAATGTTGGCTTGTAAAAGCTCATCTTGCTGCTGTTCATGATCAATATCACAAACCACCTCCAATGTTAGAGCAACAAAACAGCAAGACGGAGAAGTCACCAGAGAAATAAAATTTATATTCATTCAGGTACACACACACACACACACACACACACACACACACACACACAGGTGAGTTGCCTAGCAACTCCAGAGCATCTCAACTCCAGAAAGATGAACTCGTTCATCCATTATTGACTCTGCAGAAAGACAGCCGCCCTCGTGCCGTCCCACCTCAGCGTGCAGAGCCACGTGAAGTATCAGGTGATGAGATGAAACGTTAACACACAAACACACACTTTCACTTTCTTAGCCTCACACACGCTTTCACCTTCTCAAAAATTCTCACCCTCTCAAGTCACTCCCTTATTTCAAGATAGATCATCATTAAACTGCAACGCTCTTATCTTCTAATACAAGAAATTACATTTTCAGACAATTTAAAAACAATTAGGACTCCATTTTTTAATTTCTTAATTTTCCCCCTCACTTTTATCGTTGAGCTGGCTCAAATTAACTCTCAGAAAAAAACTTAAATATTCTTTCACTTAGGCTAATTCAAAGGGAATAGCTCATTGTATACAGCACATACCTCAAGATTTACTGATAATTTTAACTCAGTGTGTCTACCCCTCAAATGCAACATGGGGCCATATGAGTATCTTTAAAAACAAAATCATTTGCAGAACTTCTGCAATCGGACTCCAAAGTAAACCTTTCAGACTAATTTAGAGGCTGAAACAGCTGAAAAAAGATATGTATGTATGTGTAATATATGGACATAAAAAGTCTGGCATTCATTGAAGCACACGCGCGCGCACACACACACACACACACACACACACACACACACACTTAACAGCAGGTGTGAGGGGTCTGCAGAGGAAGAGGAGAGAGTGTAACAGCACACCTCCAGGTTAATCTCATTATTTGTTTCATTACAGGCTTGTCCTTTCACTTGCAGCTACATCTGTTCACAAGCTGCTTCATGTTTCAGGAACAGTGTCATGTTTCACCTCTGTCTGTGTGTGTTTGTGTTTGTGTGTGTGTGTGTGTGTGTGTGTGTGTGTGTGTGTTGAAGGGAACTGCTGAAATGTTGCTGGATGATCGTTCATGGATATTTCACTCTAAGGTCATATTTTACCAGACAAATCCTCTATTATGCTTCTGCATAACCTTGAGTTGTCTTGTATTTCTGTTTGAGGCCTGAATGTGCTCATGTTTCCTCTCTGTATAAACAAAGGACCTGCAGTTAGTGCTGCCAGGTGTCCTGAGATTTGGTTTAGCTCACTGTTGTGTCTTTCTACCCAGTGGTGGAAAGTAACTCAGCACATTGACTCAAGTGTTCCTTCTTTCATTCTGCTTTACACTTCAGCTGTACCAAAACAGAGGAAGAGATGGATTTTACTCCATGACATTTCATTGACAGCAGTGTGCTTAAAACCTCTGACCTCTGAATTTTGAACTGATATATTATTAAACTACTAAACTATGCTGTATCATTTTGAACACTAGACTTTTACTTGTGACAAAGTATTTCTATAGTGTGTTATATGCTACCTTTATAAAAAAGATTTGAATTCTTCTTCCACCAGTGTTTCCATCATATTCATTTTCACTTCTATGTGTCATTGCTTATTAATTAGACCAGGTTTTCCTGTCTTTTTCTTTATGTCTAAGTAATTCAGTATTTGTATAGATGACACCTTACACAACTTTTTCACAACTTCATACCACTGTTGTTTTACTGTTTTTACTATCTTAACTTGAATTTATTGAACTTGCACTCCATATATCTTAGGTATGCAGGGACTGTGTTGTGCCAGATAAATGTTTGTGTTCTTCTATAGTGTTATTTATTAATGTTGCAGCTTGATCCCAGAGAAACATTCTGCCTTGGACAGATATGTATTGATAGATTCATTGATTTTAACCTCCTGAGACCCTGTGCTCTCATATGAGGACATCACTTTTTGGGTTTACTTGACCTTATACTCCATTCTACTTAACTTAGACCTGTTGTCCTCGATTGTGGACACATTGTTGTGCCATCAAGTGGTAGTAAGAGCACAATATACTCATCCATATAAAAACAAGATGGCAGCCATCTCTGCTAAATCAGTCTGCAGCTGATCCTGACACAAAAGTGGACAAGGTCCAGGACCTGATCACATTTTATGGTTAAACTCGTTTATTTATGATTAATAATGCTTGTAGTTTGATATGGCAATGAATTTGACCAATTTTATCAACAGTCACATTATTAATTAGGAGGTACTGGTTTGAAAACATTGGGGCTTAATTGTTGTTTGACCATGTTTAGTTTTCTATCAGGTCCTACTGATCCCTAATAGCTAGGAGAAATTAAAGATGCACACTAATTATATAGCTGATTAAACATCTCGTTTTAAACTCAGAAACTGGAATTTCCTTGGAGTTCATGCCATGTGAATAAAGTTAGACACTATGGCAAATGTTAAGTGTTAAATGAGCAGATAAGAAGCTTGTATGAAAAGTATGCTTGGCGGCAGGCATGCAAAGAAACTCAAAAAGAGAGACACATAATTTCTGAGAATAGGCCTACTTTGTAGCAATGAAAGTGTATGTATTTTTGTTTTATTTTTGTACTGCATTCTGAACAGATTATATATTTAATGTGCATCAAAATCTATACTGCAGGATTATGGTGCTAGTGGTCTAATCAGAGTGTGATTTAAGAGATTATATGTGAGACTAAATACATGCTTTTTTGTACCAAGCAGCGCTTTTTGTGTGCTGCTACAAACTTTGGAGAGACCCTGGTGCTCACTGGAGGCCAGCTGCATCCAGGCGCAGATCTTGTAGACGCTCCCGGCGTTGCAGAAGAAGAAGAGGCTGAAGCAGACGATGCTGCCCATCATCAGCAGCATGGAGATCCCCACGAAGAACATGGCCGTCTTGAAGGCTCCGGATGGGATGGAGCCGAAGTCCAGCGCGCTCCCTTTGCAGGTGAGCTCTGAGGTGAGCGCGTTCCCAATGCAGTAGTGGAAGAGGCCAAAGTATCCGGCCTGCGGCGTGTTGACGCTGTCTCCGATCCAGTAGGGCTGGATGAACACCACCACGGTGATGACGGCGAAGGTGATGGTGAAAACCGTCCACAGGACGCCCACGGCGCGCGCGTTACGCACGTAGTTGGTGTGGTAGATTTTGGCTGCCTCCTGGGCCGGCAGCATGGCGACAGGCAGGGCCTCTCAGAGGTCTCTTGGATGATCTAACAAGTGGGAAACTTCTTCTCTTGAATTTTCTTTCCTCTGTAAAGATGTTAAAGAGTCACCAGAAAGAGCTCTTGGTTTCCTGGATCAAATATGACCGTGGACGCCCAAGAAGTTTCCTTGTTGTTAACATTACAAATGTCGCCTCAGATCAGTCTCCATAAGGTTACTGGGTACCACAGCATCAGTAAGCGGTTTCTCCAGTGTGTTCATGGATGAATGTTTCTCCCTTCTGTATCAGCTGGCAGTGTTTCGTCTCCAGGGGAAGCTGCAGTCCTCAGGTAGGCTGATGAATGATTTATGGTCAGATGATCCGCAGAAACACAGGTGGCAAGTAGGACTATTCTCCTTTCACTTTCAAGTCCATAAGCTGTAATCACTTTCCTTTATTTAATTTCTTTCAAATTTCTTTCTTTCCTTTTTTACATAGAATATTTGCTCAGATAAGAAACAGTATTCTAGATGCAGGTGTTAGGGTCAGACATAGGCCCACTAGTCCCTTCCAGTAGGCTCCTCTAGTTTCATGTTTTTAATATCTGTCAGGTCTTAAAACAATACTCATATAGGCTACCCATGTGTAATTGTTGCTCCTTGCTGACGCACTGCAGATGGATGTAATGGGTTTTGAACTAAAAAGACATTCACTTTAAAACATATCAACTTGAATTGACTGAGTGGATTATGTCCCCCATGTGAGGCAGGAATCTCCTCTCAGCCAGTAACCAATAACTCTTGACATGTGGGTATGTGAGTATTGATTTATGAAATGTGAACCTATCCTTTCAGTTGAAAGTAAAGACTGAGCCAGTGATGGAGAGAGAGACCCTGTGACAGTCTGAATAACATACTTGTATGTACTACCGCTAAACACTAGATGGAGCTGCAGAGCTTCAGTGTAACTACATCACCAGCATTTTCCCCATTTTGCCCCCAAATCACTCTTAAGAGAAGTCCTACATTTGAAGTAAACTGGAAGGATTTGAACCTTGTACTGCTACCAAACAGGCCAAATGTGGAGTTTTATGTGTGGTGTGGTGGTGGCACTGGTGTTGAGGGGAGGGGTCAAGTGTCAGCAGTTCGGTGTTGTTGTTTTTTTTTTTACTTTTGTATGTTAGATTATCTACTAATACATAAAGACATTACATTTTCAGACAATCTGAGACAATTAGGGCTCATTTTTTACATTTCCTCCCCCACTTTTATTGTGTCACTCTCTAGTTCACACCTTGAGTTGGCCCTAATTAACTCTCAGAAAAAACGAAATATTCTCTCACATAGGCTAATTCAAGAGAATAATTTACTGTATACAGTGCATACCTCAGGTTTTATTTATAGTTTTAACTCAATATTAGATTATATTGGAAATGTACATTTCTATACTATACCATAAATCAAGAAAAGTACGTAAGTATTTTTGGTGAAAACTACTTAAGTGTCAAAAGTGAAACTAGACTACTAGACTACTAATTATGTAATGCAAACTGCTTACTTTCTAGAGTGTTCTAATCAGGGAAGCTGGGGATGATTGTAAAACAGAAATAGTGGTAACACTTCCAATTTCTCCAACCAGGAACAGGCTACAAACCACCTGATTCACTCTGCATATGTTTAGTTTAGTCTTTATTCTTCTTCAGGTGAGGAATTAACACCCTATGGCACACACAGCCAAGTTTATAAGGAGAAACACTAATGTTGTGGTAAGAAAGTATTTTACTTCATTTATTTTAGTAATAACAGTGCATACTTTAGAGTTAATTTTATCAGATTTAAATATCGTTGAATACGTGTCTTTGTAGGTATCTTTCATGCAAGTTGGTAGGGCTACACACACACACACACACACACACACACAAGAATGCAAGACGAGTGCAAACACATACACAGACAACACATATGTAAGTGAGTGTATCTACTGTATATGTTGTTGTCGTTGTTGTTGTTGTCGTATGTCACTGTCATTATTGTAGTTGTTATTGTGGTTGTTGGTGTTGTTGTTGCTTGTTGTTGTTATTATTGTTACTATTATCATTACTATTGTTGTTGTTATTACAGTATTATTATTATTATTGATATGCGTATTGAGTGAACAAGGGGTAGGACCAGATAAGTGTATACTTCTTCCTACTCCTTTTGAACATGTAAATGAGATGTGAATATATTGTTTTCTTCTCTTTCTAATTGTTTTAATCAATTGCTTTTTTTTTTTTTTTTTTTTTTACATGTTCAAATCAAATCAAATCAAAGGTACACACACAAACACTCAGCCCCGCCCAACACACTCACACAACAGTTATGTCACACATTATTTAAGTGTTGAATTAAAAGATTGCAATGTCTTAAGTTTAGGTCATCACCCTTATTATATAACGTAACATTTTACCCAGGCTGTGTTACAACTAACCTGGACTATTGTAACATTTTGCTTCTTGTGTTTGAGACCAAACCAAGCATTTTCTGTTTGTGCTACACAGATAACGGCTACACCATTTTGTAGCAGACACATCTAACTTTCATATATCACATTTTGAATGCACTGGCTTAAAAGGTTCCAAGATACTGACAGAAATGGTAAAAATGTTACAACCATCCCAAATTTCCCCTACATTATTGTATTAATTTTATTACTGATGCATGTGCAAGCACTTAAAAGTTTTAAGGGGTCAAAGTGGAGCTAACTGCAACTTTATATGGCTGTGTGGTTAAATCTATAACAATAAATCATATTTCATAAACTGATGATTTGTTCTGTAAATCCTAATCTGTGAAGTGACTATCAGCTATAGCTGTTAAAGAAATGTAATACACAGCACAATATAACCCTGTCAGTATGATCAGTTTTCTTCCTTGTTTTCCCGATGCTTTGTATTCACCTATTTGTATGAAATGTGTTTTGTGTCCTGTTCAAAATCCACATCATCAATCCTGAAACCAAAATCACCTGATATCTCACATCTTATGCCTTTATTGTGGCAACATTAAATGCTTATGTCAGATCAAGTACTTTGAAAATGCATGTTTGTGGTGCTTTGTTACAGTCACATCATATTATTATTTCCTCCATGCTTTTCACGCACTCAACAGCAGTGAAGTTGTGCTGCCGTCTGTAACGTAACACACTTCACTGTCACAGTGTTTTTCCACGTCTGTTCAGTGGTTTTGTTCTCAGTGTTGGCCCACATGAATATATTGACTTAAAGATGCCCTTTCACATGCATAATGCTGATACATTTGACCTTTTGGTTGCTTTCAGATTCTAATCATCCAATACTGAGGCCCACAAAGCTCCTTGCTGACTGAATAATATAACAATCTTAGAGCCTGATTTTCAACCTATTTAAAATTTAACCTGATACCTGTCTGTGATGTTTAGTTGCTCTCAGTTTTGTCTCACTTTCTTTGTTTTCTTACCGTTGATCTGGTACATGTAATAAGTTGATATATAGATCTGCAGCGGTGTGTTTGCACATGTCTTTGTGTGTGTATGAGTGTGGGCGCCGGCGTGTCAATGCACTTAGCTTTATTAAGTGATACGGCCCCAGAGTGAGAGGGAGGTTGTTTATAATCAAGTTATTCTGGAGCAGCAATCCAATTTTCCGATACAGAATGGAGTGAGATTTCATGTGTGTGTGTGTGTGTGTTTGTGATGCTGGGATTTAATGCATTCCTTGTGCATGCATGTTTTTGTTGTGTGTGTGTGTGTGTGTGTGTGTGTGTGTGTGCATGTCTGGGTTTCTTCTATGAATGCATAATGTGATCAGACATGTTAGTCACAGCTCTCTAAGTGGATACATTAACTATAATGTTCCATAACACTGCAAAGACAGTAAATCATGAGCAAGGCCCTGTTGACACTGGTCTGCTCACATACGGTAGACGTTATAGATAAAATGAATACATTCTATTCTACCACTGAAACACTTTTAGCAGAAGCTGCCTCCAGAAAGCGTTGAAGTAAAAACAGTGTAAAGCTGTGTAAAGTTGTAAAAGCTATCAATAGAGCTCATTCTATGGTTTCAGGGGGAATTCAGGAGTCTGGTGATGCTCCTTACTTTATCCTCCATCTCGTCTGAAGTGGAAGCTGTATGTATGTGTGTGTGATTAACCTTTTACACCCTCTTTAGGCTGATTCGCTCTATGAGCCTCTGAGAGCACAAAGAGGCTTTTCTGCTGTTTCAGCATCTCTTCCTGTCCCTTTCTGCACGCCTTCTTTAGAGGCTGTTTCCATAGAAACGAGGTGCAGGATGCCGCCAGTGAGATGAGAGGGGAGGTGATGGGGTAAGATGACAAAGAAGTTGAGAACATGAAACTAATTCAGTGACATGTTGCTACTAGAATGAGTGAAAGCTTATGATATTTTCAAATTCTGGTTCAAGGAAGTGGATTTTTTTCCATCTACAAATGTTATAAACACATTCACACAGGTACAAAATGTGTACAGAATGGACACCAAACATCTGAGTATCATGTAAATTATTAATTTTTATGTTTAAAGTAATCGTGACAGCTTGTTCCTGGAGCTGTGGGCGGGGCCACTGTCACAGATGGACTCTATTAGTCTTTTGTGAACATGTGAGTAACAGCATGCAGTGGGCTTTGGGCAGGGGACCAAAGAACAACCACTCCTTGTTGACCCCCCACTCCCCACCCCTCCGTCCTCTCATCTGACACACATACATACACACTCACACACACTCTGCCCTGTGATGCAGCACAAAATCAGTCAATGAGTGTCACTGCCTCTCCCCGAGGCTGCAGCAGCCACTATAACCCACCAGCCTCCATCCCAGCCGCCTGCCCACCCTGTCACAGCCCAGCAGGAAGCACCAGAGCTTGGGCAAGAAGCGGAGCAAAGTGTGGGTCAGCGTGTGCCCTGGGGAAGGAGGTTGGAATGTAGGTCTGCTCTACAGGGGATCATGTTCATGACTCATTACTGATCACCCACCATGGTTATATCCTTCTGTGGC